AGTGTGAGGTCAGTACACATTTTAAATATGTAAGAATATCTCTTTGAATAGAGGCCTAAAATCAAATCAGTTTGTCCACAATAAAATATAACAATTACAGCAGGAGCCTGTTACTATGTTTAGTAAATCTATTTGAAATAATCTTCATTTCACATGAAGATTTTGCAAGACAAACAGATTACACATCTTCCCATGGATAGTAAAGATTGCAAAATCAGGGTGAGCTTCATTCAGAAAAATAAAATCAACTCAACAAAGATTCATCATTTCAGTTTTGGCACTTGGTTCTGAAGGTTAACCATGTGCACTGTTCAGCTGACAGATCAGCTTCCTTATTTAGCTTCCTGGCTGGCAGCCACTGTTTTATCATCATGCCTCTGACTAGCAGGGATTTTCAACCTGATCTAGGGTTTATAACCACCTGCTTAATTGTTTTGCTGAACAAGACAGCTTTATCTGTGTACTTTTATTTCCATAATATACAGGATGTCACCTATACTTATGTAATGAAGAATTATCCAGAATTAAGAGGAGTTATAATAATTTAGAACATCAATGGATTAAAAGCATCTTAAAATTTGTTATGCGGGATTCTGTTCAACAAAAATTCAATCACCAAACAGATGCTTTGTTACACAAAAGTAACAAAAAGATATTATGAAGGAAAAGTTGGCCAGCAGAACATGCAGTTAGAGCAGAGTAACCACTGGGTTGTATTAAATCTTGTCTTTTAGAACATCATCCTGAGACATCACCTGTGTGTGTGTGTATGAGTAAAACTGAGTGAAGTGATGATGGGCTACAGATTGTTTCCATTCTGGGATGACTTTCTGATGGCAACCTAAGTCAGTAATGAGCAAAGATAATTAACTCGTATTTGTTGGAGAGCTGGGTGCAGGTGGGATCTGCTCAGGCTGTTTAGTTCCTGACAAACCCATTAATCATCACTTACAGCAATGACCACAAGTGTCTGAAAAGCCTTTCTCACCTCAGCCAGTGGTCACCTGAGGTCTGGAAAATACATTTCTGTTGGGCACTATCTGGAGCTAACTTGCTGCTAAGGATTATCTGACTTGCTTAAGTCACAGAAACAAATTTCTTTATTAGGTGCTCCCACAGCAAGGGACACTCACCAGATCCTCTCCCAGTGTACCCCACAAAGCACAGACAAAAGTCCTGTCCCTGTCCTTGCCCTTCCCCAGAGGAAACAGGCCATGTGTTAAGTACAGAGGACCAGAGCAGCAACACAGTGTTAGATCAAAATCTGCCTTTCACTTTGTCCATCCAATTTTGCCGATTCAGAAATTCATGGAATTGGCAGGCAGAACTCTTAGATCATCATGTAACTGGTCTTTACAGTGTGATCACAGAATCTCATTCAGTCACTCCTCTTTTGAACATAATAACAGATACCAAAAATGACATGTCATTCTGGGAAAAAAAACTTTTGCTTTGTTTCAGACCCTTCAAAAGAAATGTACTTATTTTTGATGCTTAGTTTGAGTGAGAAATTCTCCTTTGGAAATGTCTGGATTATTGATAGATAGATAGATTCTCATTACATTCTTTTATTTTAGAATTGAAGACCACTTGAGTATCTTTGCCCTCATGACAGTAACACTTTCTTAGGAGTTGTTACCTTTTTAATCTATCACTCGTCATTCTGAGCCTCTCTAGGGCTTCATGAAGGAACATTTGTGTTATTAACTGAATGAACAGTTATTAATCAACTGTTATTATTGCTGTTGGATGCACGACCTCAGTTCATATTGAAATATAGGACCCCTCTGAAGAAGTGCAGATCTAAGTCTTGTCCGTATTTTCTTCTCTTGCCTATATTTTCTTCTTTAACTTACAAAATTAAGCATCAAGCCATGTCTGTATTACGTCAGTGGGTACTGTTTAAAAGACTATTCATTCTTTAAAATGTATCTGTAGCTATAGATCAAGATAAGCATAATTAATCACTTGACAAAAAAATACATTGCAAACTAGTTCCTGGCTAATCAATCTTATCAGTGAGAACAGTTTACCAGCTTTCAATTACCTTTGTTATGCAACATTTGTGTACACCGCATAATTGCATTATTCTCTTCTGACTTACCTGCCTTTCTTTAGGTCATCTTCTCTTCCACTTTCCCTCTGTTCCCAGAATGAAAGACTATATCAAAACAACACTGGTGCTCCTCGTGGCTGAACTAACAGCAGTGGTTCACAGTCAAGTATAGAGCAATACTCAAAACATGTGTGCAGAGATAATTTCTCATTTAATTGGCGAGAGCTGCAGGGTGTCAGAGGCTCCACATTCTGCAATTTTGTGCTTTTCTACAACTGTCACCCTGCTGATCTAAGTGGTTTCTCAGCAGGGATAGAAATAGACCTTCTATTGTCACTCTGCTTCCAACAGCTTTAATAAAAACTTTAACTGCTTTTCCAGAAAAGGAGGAGAGGCCATGACCAAAATTTGTTTTGAATATATTACAACAATGCTTAACAGCTCCTGTTGGGAAAAGCAGAAGAAACCAGAGGAGAAATTAAAGTTTGTCTTTAAAGTATAGAGGCAAGAGTAGCCTGAAAACAGAAAGTACTGAGGAAATTTTGTAGGAACAAGTAGCAATAAAGTGAAATAAATAGGCCAGAGGGGAAAGAAATTAAAAAATAAAAAGCAACTGTAGGGTTTGATGTAGTGAAAAAAAAATAAATAAGCAAGAAAAATACCAGAATAAACAGATGTTAAGAAAACTTCTCCAAACTTGAACACCAACTTTCTGGCCTCTTACTGTATGTATGCTCCTCCAAGCTGCATTGGAACGAAATTTTTAGTAAATATAAAAACTTTCCACAACATTTCAGAGAAGCAGTTTAACTTGCTCAGGATATCAAATTGCCCAAGCAGCCTGGTTCCCCTCATCACATCCCAAAGAACCTCTTGGCTTCCTAAAATCTTATTCCAAATCAATCACCAGAGCAGAATTAGTGCCTGTTTATGGCACATGGAATCTGAAATCCTGCTCCTGTTGCACTGAAATGGTTCAAACTATCCAATACACTTAATTTAATGTTTACCTCTGCCCTGGGAGCATTCCTAGGAAGAATCCTGGGAGCTTTGAAAACCACGACTGCACTGTTTCAGCAAGAGTTTTGTACCTCTGTCACCTGTCCATGGAGCAGGACAGCAAAGCTGCCCAGTTCAGACAGAGCCAGGAAATTCAGTCCCTGCTGGACTAATTCCAGACTAATTTCAGCATCATCCACCTACTCTTTGTCAACTTCAGAAGCCTCCCAGTACCCCTATTCACCCAGTTCCAGAAGCATTGTTAGGTTCTACAAGTTCATGTTTTTGGAGGTAAAACTGCATTAGTCATTATTCTGTGTGAATAATATTGAAATGTAATGTATTCATTCCATGATTTGCATAGAAATGTCCCATCTCATGGCATAAAAATTATAAAAAGAGAATTTCCTAGTCCTCACATTAAATCATGTCAGCTTAACCTATACCCAGTGGGAGTAGACTTTACAGATCTGAGATTTGCTGCTATTTTATGTACAACTGACTTCAGTTAAGAAAACAAAGATGTAGAACCCCAACTGTTTAATATCTGGATTATTATACAGACTTCATTGCCAATTCTATAACATTATGTGCCTTGTTTTCTAATTTCTTGTTCTTTCTATAGTGATACTGGCAGAAAACTTTCATGTAGGAAAACTCTCCACATCACTGAATTAATGCACACTTTGGCAGTGGAATGAAAATTGTAAGTCCTGTAGGCTTAAAACAGGATATCCTAAAAAATTAAATTAAAAAAAAAAAAAAGGGAATGTGTGTTTAAAATTAGAAGAAGTCTATTTAATCAGTGCGTAGGGGAAAAGGAATGTCATTCCCCCTTTTTCACTGGTGAGGTCTGACTTAAATTTATTGAGTCATAAATATTTGGCTAAAATAACCCTAAGTAATCCTGGGGTGGATTAGTGCAGGTATGGAACTTGAAGAATTTAATGACTTGTGTGAATACATGATACTCACAGGTTGGTAGAAGTTCAAAAGACGTCATCAGACATGGCCTCTCGCCAGGACACACACATGAATTTACAAATTAAGTGCCCTAAACCCCATTTGACTTAACCTAGTTTAATGCTACTTTCTATTTTTCTACTCCTTTTGTTACTTTAATCTCATTAAAAGCTTTGTAATGTATTCAAAGGCAGGTCTGAATCATTACAACTGTTCCCAGACTCTAGTCACTGGAATACTTGGTGACATGTGTAGAAGTTCACATCACAGAGTCTGAAAAACTTTAATTATTGAAGTCATTTGTTCTCAGGTTCACCTGATCTCCTGATTATTTTTGTACTGAACTGATCGCTGTGATTGCTACAGGAACCTATTAGCCCGGGAGAATCTTTACAAATCTGAAGTCTGTTTTGGTTACTCAGCAAGACAGGATATATATAATGGTGTAGGAAAAGGAGGCCTCTAACCTTTAGGATGTAGGCAAAGTGTCACTCTTCCTGGATGCTTTCTTCCCACTAAGCAGTGTCAGTACAGACAGAGCAGCTCTTCTGCACGTGTGCTCCACCCCCACCTCCCGGCGTGGAGCTCAGAACTTCCAATCCAGGGGAAACGGCTTCAAAATTTGTTTTTATTCCGAGTTCAAACAAAAGCTTGTGTTTCCACAGAGCACAGTTGTAAAAGGCTTTCTTTTGTAACATCTTAAAAACTGGCATGTTGAATTTTTCTAACATTACCTTAACGCCTGGGTATTTTTCCACGTTAATTTGTATCAAAACTAGTACAGCTGCACTCACGCACACTATTCCCGCTCTCCCAGCGAGTTGTTAGAAACACCAGCGGGAAATCACCGCTTCTCCCTCCTGTCACCCGGGCAGGTGCCGGGACAGCGGAGCTCGGGGGGCTGCGCTGGGCTCCCCCCGTCCCGCCCTGACCCCGGCGGGGCTCCCCCGCCCGCTGCCCGCCCGCCATTTCCCGCACTCACTCGGGGGTGTTGATCCAGATGATGTCGAGGTGGCAGTAGTACACGCACTCCTTGTCCTTGTAGGTGTAGCAAGTGCAGCGCCGGGCCCGGTGCCGCAGCGCTCCGCCGTCCGCCCTGGCCCTGCTGCCCGCGGCCGCCGCCGCTCCGCTCTCGTCGCGCTCGCGGTGTCCCGGGCCGGCCGCCGGCAGCGCGGAGCGGGGCCGGGGCAGCGCGGACCCTGCAACAGCCACCCGCGCTCAGCTCCCGCCAAATCCCGCAAATCCCGCAAATCCCGGCAGTTCCCGGTGCCCCGGCCGCGCACACCCCCGCCTGCACCAGCCCCCCCCGGTCCGGGCCCGACCCATCCTCGCTCCCTGCGGAGTCCCGGCGCGCCGGGAGCACCGTTATGTTTGTGTCCGCCCCGGGCTGCAGCGCCAGCCCGCTGGGTTTGGGATAAACCTACGTACGGCCAAAGGATGGCTTTGGGGTCCCGTTCTTTACAGCGCACCGGAGTGGGCTGCTGCTTACAGCCTTTTGGAAGGAGGGAAAAAAAAAAACAAACCACAAAAAAACCACCCAGCCTTTCTTTGTGTGCATGCGTGGAAGTGGGCAAAGAAAGAAATTCACGTTACCTGCAGTCGACGTAATCGTAAGTCCAAAGAGGAACAATAAACCCAGCTCCATTAAACCCAAATTGCACGCTGGTTAACTGCAGGCAAAGGTGAACTACAGGCACGACTGAACCGTTCCAGGAGGGATCACTTCAGGTTGGAGGCAGGCAATATCCTGGGGCTGGCGGCACACGCTGCTCCGGGAGTTGGCTCCCACACGGAGGTGTGATTAGCACTTCTCCCTCGCAGTTAATTTCCTCCAATGCAGACTTAGTCCTGAAGGGGAGAGTGTTGTCAAAAGAAGGGAAGATCCATCGCTTGGCTTTTCCCACACACACCTCCCACCCCACCCCCAAATCTGATCAGCAACCGGAGCTGCTGTTTTCCAGCTGCAGACGCCTCCCACCCGCCGACAGCTGCCGGCCTCCCCCGGGGCGCGGGCCGGGGGCGGGCACGGCCCCGCACCGCCCCCGCTCCCCCGGCAGGTATCGGCAGGGATAGGGCAGCACATCCTCCCGGGAGCGCCGGGGGAGGCACAGCCTGCTCTGCCGCTCCGGCTTCAGCGCTGTTAAATTATCTGAGCCTCTTGCTCCGCGTCCGATCCCAGGAGGAATCGCTTGTGTAATAAAAACGCAGCTTTTTGAGTCAAAGCTGGACTACAGATTTAAGAATTGTTTGGGGCTTTTTTTTCTTTCCCACCCTCCCCCACCCAAGACTCTACCACTCATTCCTCTGGGTGAAATTAAGTCACAAATTTATTCATACTTTCTTTTCCCTACTTACCTATGAGCACCTCTTTGTAGGCAAAGCCACCCAGAGTGCAACACTTAAGACAAATTTCATGTTGTTTGAAATACCTGATAGCTGGGCCTGGAAGAACACTCCATCTTGTGGCCTCATTTTCTATCATAATATCAGCTATTAAGTGATTAATAGGTAAGTGTTTAAGGTAATTGGCTATATCTTTTCGTACAGTAGTATGTGTAGTATATCCTGTTATGGGCCATACATTTTATAGAGAGCATATGGAGATAGGGTGCAAACTTAATTGTGGCTATTTTAAATCAAAACCGAATGTTTCATTTAAGAATGTCTCAGGACTAACAGAAAGAGCTGTAGCTAAAATTTCTTTTACATATCATGCCAATTTAACGTGTCCACTAAAATCTGTAAGAAACTGGTTGAAGGATCACCCAGGAGTTGTCCAAGTGAGGAACACTGTTCTCTGCAACCTCACATTCTTCTCCAGCCCTGCCCCCGACTCCAGCTTCTGGTGTGGACTATCCAGTAACACTTGCAGAGAAACCTCATTAAGATGTCATGTTTTGTCAGCTTGTCGAGCCTTGCCTTTTGTCAGTGCCGGAAGATTGAGAGTTTTGGAGTGGACCATATTCCCAGCTGCTCACAAAAGCACGATGGTCACCAGGCAGCACAACAGCCTCAAGTGAGTCCACAGCTCTCTGTGGAAATTTAAATTGTTTTCATTACACACCATTTGTGCAAATGACAAGATGTTCTTGTAATTAATACAGGAGGGAACCTGTAAACTACTAACTTATAAACTACTACAGAACTCCTGTAAATTACTGAATTTAACAGTATATTGAAGTTCATACTCGAGCTGGGAAAGAGGTGCTTGCTCACCTTTAGGGGTGAGGAGCTGCAGTGACCTGGATGATTTTACCCTTTGTTTTGCTGACTGGGGGTCTGTGTATGTTGAAGTCATGCTCCCCAAGCATCAGCAGAGTTACAGTTCAGCCTCACGGTTCTATGGGTGCTCTGTTTTGAAAAATACGGTGACAAAACGTCTCTGAAAAAAGGAATTGGTTTGAAGTTTTTTCCATTTCTTTTATACCTAGAAAAAAAATAATTGCTTCAGATCAGGAAGTTCTAGATATTGTACTCTGGTGCTGTTGGATGCAGCATTGATTTTGACAAATGCTTATGATTGTGTTTTAACTTATCAGGAAAAGAAAAAGAAGATTTATTGTGCAGTTACTGTTTAACAGAACACTGAGTGAGTAAGAAGTACTGGTTACATGTTGCAGGTATTATAAGTAACAACTACATGAGTCTGAATTCTGATTCATTAATTTCATTTTCCTTATTGCAACTGTTATGAATTTTTATAATAATACTACAATTTTATCATAGAAATGGGAAATATATCTGTATCATACATATAGATATGTCATAACAAAAAAAGAGTTGTGTTGTGTGTGAACTGATTTAACAACATTTTCCTAAAAAGTATTGTTTTGTTTTCTACATGAAATTTTGAAGGCGTCTTCTACATTGCTCTACTTTTTCTTCCGTGTGCTGTTTACTCTCTGAAGAGACAGGGGAGACCATATCAGCACCCAGTGCTGTGCAAACAAAAAGAGTAATAAAATATATTCTTAAATCAGCTACCAGGGTTCAGAAATTAAGGGCAAGGGTTTGGCCAAATGACCTAATGTAGCTTTAGAAGAAGATAAGACATAGACTCTACAGGAAGAAAGATACTCTCATCAAAGGAATTAATCCTTCTGGTACTGTAGGCCTGATTCTCATTTACTTTGATTATTAAGTTGTTTGGGTCATATATTACCTAATGCCTTGAGAACTTTTTGTTTCATATATACAGCACTCTCAAAACAAGAAAGCTGGTTAAGAAAATAGCAACAGATAATTTTTTTTTAATCCAGGGTTTGTTTTAATTTGGGGTAAGAAATAAAAGATATCTGGATACTATTGTCAGTGATATTCATATATGAGGCAAAATAGCTTTGTAAATCTATTTGATTATTATGTTTTAATTTAGTAAAAAAAAAAAAAAAACCCAAACCAGTAGTAGCCTTGAAGGTAGCAGGCAGAGATTGGAAGCCAACAGATCCAATTCATAGTATATTTCAGCTTTTCCTTTAAAATTGTTTTAACTCCATAGATTCCTTTTCCAGTTTCAAGATCTTTTGGGTGGATAGGTACTTTGCATAAATCTTGAGAGCTGTGGACAAAATGTGTAGAGTTAATCCTTCTCTTTATACCTTCAATCTTCCCAGTTCCACCACATCCCCTTCTGCCCTTGTGCAGCCCTGGCAGTGCTGAGCCCAGCTCCTCTCTGTACAGACAATGGGAATTCCCCAGTCCTGGGACACTTCCTCATTCTTAGGGCCACCCAGGCAGCTGAAGAAAGACAATCAGCAGATCTGCCTCATTGCTGGGTATAAATATTGTATATTTGAGAACTTCTAATTGACTGAAGGGAGAATAATCTCAGGGATGAGGTCAAGGCTGAAGGAGTCCTGGAATGTGGAGCAGCTGAAACAGATGATGTTAAGGCAAGTAAGCTCAGATTCCAGATTTTATATGTGAAAACCCCAGGCTGCCATTTCAATTAGGAACATAATCTTGGGTTTGTTTAGGACTCCTCTGCCCCTTGTATCCCTGCTTTATACATCCACTCCTGTGATTGTGGGGCAATCAGAACCCCCAGCAGTAATTCCACAGCATTTAACCTTCATCATACAGGTGACTACACAAAGGAGTTGTGAGTTACAAAGAAGTTCCAGATGTGTTTAAGTAAAGTTGGTTACTGAGAGAAACCACTTTAAAAGCTGAGTTCCTAGGATGTATTTACACGAGTAATAAAGCCTGTAGTTAAAAGGTGGGGTAAGGTTTCAGCAGCAGTACAGATTTTTTGGCACTGATGCCTGTTCTCACAGCTTCACAGCAGGCCAGGAGGAAAGCCTGATCAATACAGATATGGTACTAAATAAAGATAACCAATCTAGTGCTTTATAAACTATTCATATTTCTTTTCCCACCCTCTTGCTTCCTTCTTAGTCACCGAGTTCTTTGGTGTTATTGAAAAAAAAAAAAAAAGGTCATATTAAGCTGCAAACTCTGTGTTTAGTAGCACACTCTGCACCACTTTCACAAAGAAAGCAACTTCATAGTGGTAGCTGATATTGGAAAAATGTGCTGAAATCAGTAGGTTCTCAAGAAAACCTTATCTTCTGATTATTATTTGTTACTTTTTTGCTGGAGTTCTATAGGCAGAAAGCTGAAGTTAATCTTGTCTCCCCTCGTGTTTCAGACAGACCCATTCACAGCCCTTTGATGTCGATGCAAAGAATCCCATTTTTAGTGGCCTTTGAACCAGATGTAGTAAAAGGGCAACTGAACATTTGTAGGGGTTTCAACTGGGTAACTTGCTTAAAGGAGGAGAGTTCAGACGCTCATTTCTGTTTTACCATTTTTTAAATTGCTTTTAGTATTTATATACCATTAAGAGTAATGTAGATACTTGGTAAACAGTGAAGAGGACTTATGCCTCAGCTCTGACTGCTTCACTTTATTTAGACAAAAGCAAAGTGAAGAAGGAGCTCTGTGGCTGTATTTCAGCTACACTAATTTAATGATTCCTGCTTGTTACAGCTATTGTGAAATTTAGGAAGGAGTTTGCATAAGATAACGTATCCTGCTGTTGTAATGTACTGGAGACAGGGCTCAGATCTCTGGATAAGGAATGCTGCAAAAATCCTAAGTGTTATTATCACTACACACCACTCTCCCCAGGATCTGAACCTGACCTCCCTTCTTGATCCAAACAATCTCTGTCTTTGTGAAAATAACAGGATTTAACAGGAAGAGAGTTTTCTATAATTATTGCATGAAACAGTTCTTTTCCTTCACATTTATTCATGTTTAGGCATGTTACTGAACAAAGAGAATTCCATATCAAAATGTGGTCAACCTGAACACTGCAGTGTTTGTAAAGAATGGACAGGGAGCTGCCAGCAAATAAAAAGCTGGAGGAGGAAAAGCTGAGCTGGTTGTCTTGCCAAAAGAACTTCACACCTTTAAAATGAGCAAGGACTTGGGAGGGACAGCTTGTTTCTGGAGGTGCAACGGCAGGGAAGAAAACTCAAGCACCAAAACAAATCATTTTGGGCAGAAGCCTGTCTGGAGGGTGATGTGGAGAAGGAGGGAGTGGTGTGCATGCATAAGGGTTTGGGTCTGGCCTGGTTTTCCTTCCTCAGCAGACTGATAGGAAACTTGTGGTCAATCATTTGTAGCGTGAATGGCTGGGGGAGTCTGGAGTCCTCGGAAGAGAGGGAGGGGTAAAGATAAGCTGGAGGAAGGGGGTTTGAGACTGGGGATATCCCCAAAGCTATGGCTGATCCTCAGGTTATTATACAAAAAGTGAAATCCGTGTGCTTCTCTGGCAGCTCCTCCTTGGGAGCTCCCATTCCTGGAGCTGATGCCTGCCTGGATGCCTTTGAAGAGGCTTTTTCTTTGCATTTATTGGAAAGCCAAAGGATCACAAGCCCTGAATCCACTGTTCCTGCCTGGAGAAGAGCCTGCTGGGAGGGGTGCCCTGGGCTGCTGGAGAGGTGAGTGTTGGCCAGTGCCACTGTTGTGCCCTGGGAGCTCCTGAAACAGCAGGGGGTGGGGGGAGGGCGGTACTGGGGCACTTTTTTCAGCTTTCTTTGAGCAGAGACGCAGCAGCTTGGGTGGAATAAAAGCCTAAATCTTGTGCTGCAAATCATGTGGTTCATAGCCCTTCTGGCTGTGAAGAGCTTTACAACATCTGCTGGCTTTTAATTAAGAGCACGAATTTTGCAGAAAGGCTTGGCCTCTCTGGGTTCTGATGATTCCGTTTTGCCTGGTTAAACACTTTTGGGGTTTTTCTCTTGCTGTGGTTCTATGATGTGACCTGCAGGTGACTGCAAGTATTAAAAATGCCCTGTGTTGGAGCCCTGAGAGACAGGAATATCTGTTTACAAATCCATAGGTGAGACAGGTGTTTTCTAGCAGCTAGTCTTGTTACATAATAAGGGCAGTCTGCAGCAAAGCTTAATGTAATATGTGGTGCAAAAAAATGTGCACATTGATGGCAAAAACCTGATTTGTTGTATATGATGTGCTCAGATGGACCAGACTGTTAATGTACAGCAGTCAGAATATTGTGTGATAATAATTTATTCACCTATATAAAAACCAAAGAGGCTGGTCATAACCACCTTTATTCTGTAGCAAATCTGCTCTTCAAATTCATACTTAACAACATTTGTAAGAGATTAATATTTCTGGTGCTGCCTTGTATAATAAAGAAAAGTTCTGCAGCAGTTACCAGCTACTAATGAAGTTAATAAGTCTTTATTGCAACTTCTTCGTAAATCCAATTTAAAATACAAATACAGGTCTGACCATTTCTTTTTTGGAAGGATCCACAGCTGAGACTCATCAGTTTAGCAACAACCTTGACACCATGTTTGAATATATAACCTTTCCTCTCCCCAAGTAACTTATCTCTCCCTAAGAAAAGACTTTCAGAGAGAAATAAACAAGTGTCTGCCTGTATGAACTAGTCAAGGGAAAATAAAATGAAAAATGAACTTGTATTATTTAAACAGTGTGACATGATAAACTGCAAGTGCTGCTCACACCTAGCCCTCTAAGAGCAGCTTGCTATGTTGATAAGCTTTGATTGAACCTGAACTTTTACTTCCTGAACCTATTTTTGTGAGTAAATTGCATTTTACAATGACATGGTATTATAATTCTCCAGAATTGTTGGGATGAAATGGCACAAATATCTGAACACAAAGGCAAGAACAAGTTGGGCATCAGTGTTGTGAGTGATCTGTCAGCCCTCTGGGGTTGTTCCAGTTTGGTGCAGAGGCTGAGCAGATGAAATCCTTGCAGTCCCTGGAAAGGCTGTCTGGGGGCTCAGGGGCTGTGACTGAAACCTGGGGTAACACCTGCAGACCCTGTGTGGTGCATGTGCAGTGTTCCAACCCTTCCTGCAGCGCTCAAGGTGCACAGCTGGGTTTGTGCCTTCTAAAATTCCACTACAGTGTGATTACAAACCCAGCATGTCTTATGGCAAAGGGGTAATTGCAGGCAGATCCAGGTTACCAAGCAGTTCTCAGCTGGAGGTGCTGTTGGTAAATACCAGATGGCACAAATATCCAAAGCAGCCCCAGTTATGAAATTCATGTCTGTGGCAATGTCTTGTTTAGTCTGGTTTGTTGGAGGAACATGAGTTGACAGCATCTTCCTTGATGGTTCAAAAGGAACAGCCCTTTCCAGAAGAGGCAGAGGGCTGCAAAGTAAACACAGGGAGTTACGAGATGAACATAAACCTAACGTAACATGGGAATTCTGAATCTATTTATCTGTTCTCATTGACATGGTTGTACTTATTGTGGAGGGTCTTGACCTCATATTCAGCTTAAGAACACAAGCCTGGGAATAACAGCAGTGCAGAACTTTAGGCATAAGACGATTTCTTACATTTTGTACATTTAAGTACATGAGTTACCTTTTGTGTGGCTGAAACAGCAGAGGAGAGGTAGAAGGAGAGGAACTGTACCACACAACCTGCATGGAAGTTCTGAATACAGCTGATGGAGCTTTCTCACATTTACACAACAGCATTCTACCCTCCTTCATTTGTGTTGGTGAAACAAGTTTCAGTAAATCAGATTATAAGGACAGTGGATGCCAAAAGAGTGTTCTCCCTGAGCTCCCAGGTGGGAATACCAGGGCATCAGCCAAAATGGAATACGGGAGGTACCAGTGTTTTGTGGGGAAATTGGAAAGATAATGAGGAAAAACAATAGACAAATACTGGGAAAAAGAGAAAGCCATTTAACTCACTTTTCACAGAAGTCTCTTTCCAATTATAAAGCCAATAGAAGCAAACAAGAGGAGGAATAAACAAAAAGTAAAAAGATACAACAGGACATTAGTTGGAGATGTAGAGAAAAGGAATAAAGAAACATGGTAAAGGAAGAAAATGAGATATTAATCTCTGCCCAAGGGTAAAGTTTATCCCTCCAGCAGCATGGCTGGGGTTTTGCTTGTTTTTTGCCTCTGAGTGCTTCTTTAAAGCAGACTTAAGCAGGCACCAGGCTGTTTAGAGTGGTTGCCTGTCATTTGAGTTTCCCAAGTAATCTGCTGTTTCGCTATTGAGAATTCTTCAGAAGCATTGTCAAGCCATGGTTGTGTCGTTGCAGGCTTGGAGAAAATAGAGAGGCTGGGATAACTTCTAATTACAGTGTTACTTTCCATATATTTTAGAAAATACATTGTGGCAAGCATCAAAAAGAATATTGAGGCAAATTAGGAAAAAAAGGCAAGTTCAAAAAGCTGTTTCATTCTTTGAAGGATTGGATGAGGGAGGGCATGAAGGAAGACTGGAATTTGTACAACTCCAAGATCCTGGCTGCATTCCTTTGTCAGTATTTTTATTGACTCTCACTTCCAAAGGAACTATGACGCTTCAAGCTGTTCTCTGGATATACCTTGCTGACCTAAGGAGGCACAATGCACCACAGCTGTTAGCAAGGGTTGTGTGTGGTGTTTGAACTGGAACAAAAGAGCTGTATCATACTTCTCTCACTCTGAAGTGCAATTGTTTCCATGCCTTTCCAGTTTTGAGTAACAGCATTTCACACATTAGAAAGGCCATAATGTAATTTATTATCCCTGGCTCTGGGATAATTTATTGCTGTTTTGACATTTCTCCTTTTACTGTTTTATCTTTTTTCAGTCAAGGAATAGAGGAGTAGGAGTCAGAGTTTCTGCTTTTGATATTTGTAAATTTGCCAGAGAAGTTTAACCTAATGTCTATATGAGTTAAAGTCAGACAGGCAGTGATTCTCTAATGACAAATAGGTGAAGAAGACACAGGACTTGTATTCACTTTGTGATGAGTCAGAATCTGCAGACAAGGATGCTAAATGTCCATCATTGCCATAATAGTGACGGGCAGAAAATCACTGACTACAGGGTAGCTGCAAAAAGCAATGAGGATTATTACAGGCTCCACTTATATAGCATAAATTATGAATTAAATAATGATTAACAGCTTTTCCACTAAATCTCATAGATGTCTGACCAGCTAGAGTGTCATTCAGGTATCTTTATTTGCTTTTAGTTACTCTGAGAAAAGATGCATGAGTTATTAATGAATTGTAACCACTGCTTTCAAAGTTTCTTAAGTTCTGAAAATTCACTAAGGCCTTAAAATTTGCAGAATACAATAAAAAAAGGTAGAAACAGTGGAATTGAGAACAAGGAGATATGAGAAAGCAAAGGTTGTTACACAGCTGGAAACTGGCCACCCAAGAAGATCTGGCAGAGAAAGTAAAGTATTAATAGCATTATTAATCTACTGAGTTTTACTGCCAGTAAAATAAGTAGAGAAAGCAAGATCAAGGAGAAGTTATGAGGCAGCAACACAAATAAAGTAACAAATTTACAGTTCTCAGGGGTATTGAGATTGTGGCTCCTGTTACCAAACTGTGAGAGTACACAAGGACAGCAGCTGTGCCAAATGTCCAGATACTGCAGTTCTCAGTAGGATAAAGGGCATGACACTGTTTAAATTCAGTACTCTTCTCATATGTGGTAAACCCTCCATGATTATTTACTACAGAAGTAATTTTTCATGGGTTTGATGGGAGGGGTTGAACGCCGAGTTAATTAATGCATTTCTTCTACTCTCACTCTGCAGAGTTCTAGCACAGTGACACTTGGACCCATGTCTGTTTTGCCAAAAACTAAAAGTTGTTTTCCTGATGTTCTGAAGATATTTTTTTTCAGACAAACAGTTTCTGTGCTTTCAGAATGTCTGAGACTGCCATTCATGAGGAGGCTGGGTCCCAGTTCACACTGTTTGGGAGGAACTGCATCTTTCCAGTCCATCACCACTCAAGGCAATGCCACACCAGGCACTGGAAACCTCCATTGTGCTTCCAGCCTGTGTTTCACAGCAGTGCCTTGGCAGGAACATGTTAGGCTGTAATTAAAGGCATGTTTTATTTCAATGAAGAAAATTCTCCTCTGAGCCTGAGGTTTTCTAATAAAGTTCAGATTTATTTGCCAATTTTCAGTGAAAAACTTTATTAACTATTTTATTTAGTTGCTCTTGCCTTTCTGAAAGTCACCATGACTCCACACAATGATTCTATGGCAAATTTTTCAGTATATGCGTTTTGTAGCTAAAGGATACACCCTGTGAGCATTTGGCCTCCCTGAAAATGACATGGAGCTATTTTATTTTTATTTTATTTTAATGTTTGGTTTGTAGCATCAACTTGAAGGGCCAAAAGAGAAGGATGTGATTGTTACATTCACTGCATATGCATAAGAAGTGGTTGCTACTTTCCTCTATTCTGACTGTTCCTGGTCAAGACAGGTTTACACAGTTGGAAAACTGAAGGTCAAATGGTTTAGACAAGATTGATTAAACCAGGGAAATTATGGCCCAGGCTATTCCACATTAGCTGGCTTAGGAAAGGAGAGAAGAAAAACCCCCAATGCATTGGTGATTTCAGAGCCTATTGGAGATTAGGGGTCCTATGGATGGATTGAGAACAGA